AAAAAAAACTCCCGGAAGCGGTCTCCTTCCTTCCTTTTCTCAAGCCCTGACTGATTGATTCACGAGTGAGACATATATCACCACTACCACTGCCTCAGACTAGTAGGCACTGACACATCTTAATACCCTTCAAAGGAGATAGATATGATATATCTGCGCAACACATATGTACTGTACAGTAAAGTACGTTTACATAACCAACAAGCTTATCTGGTTTATAATAGTCTATCCAATCCAAATCCAATAAATGCAATCCCATACAGATACTTATCGAGGTAGAGAAAAATAAAGGAAGCTAGTCACGTTCCTTTCCATGATTAATATGATTATAGATGACATTCCTGGTCAGGAAGGTACATAGTGTGAGGAGTTCGTGATGAGGCGGGAAGGAATACGATGTGATGGTCATGGATGGCTAGGCTAGGCTAGGCATCAAACTTCTCTGCCCAGCTGTAAGAGAAACAAAATAGGGGGGACGCTATCTAGACCAGATACTAATCCTTGTTTCTCGTGTTCAGCTTTGGTGGAGTAATGTAGTTAGAAAACCTGAAGTTCTGTCTATAAATTGGCTCCCTTCCCCAAGTAAAGAAACAGTAACAAGATCTTTCTTTATCTCTTCCTTTCGTTCTGTATAGGTCTGCTGTCACAGATTGCAATTTTGCATTGATCTTTTGCTACCTAGGTCTTACGCTCGTTTGAAGCCTTGTCCAACTATTATTCTACAGCCCATACCTCTATCTATCGACCGATCAACAAAACAAATAAAAAATGGCACCTGTTAAGAAGATCTTCCTCGCCTTTGCTCTCTCCGCCGCTGCTGCTGCTACCTCGGATCGTATCAACGTCAACGCCAACCTGGGGAAGAGATCGCCTCTTCTCGAGGATCGGTCCATCATCTGCAGGAACCCAGGTTGGATTCCTGCTTGTCCTGGTATGTACACACATATACATGTATACATTCGAGAGACCTTCTGACATCTCGTACAGTCGGCATCCCATGCATCCCGCCCGGCGGCATCTGCTGCTCGGATGGAATCCACTACGCGATGCCGCCGGACACCTGCCCTGATGGCACGGAGCCCGTGGCGACGGCGATTCCGGGGTCGGACTCGAGCTCGACGTCGACTTTGACAACTACTTTGACTTCGACTTCCACTTCCACTTCTATTTCTACTTGGACTTCGACCTCGACTTCGACTTCAATCACCACACCGTCACCAACTACCGTATCCTCCACTCCGGTGTACACGCCATCCACTCCGTCAGTGAAACCATCATCTACTCCGGCCTCTAGTGCGTCTGTGTCCTTCATCAAGACCCCGACTCCATCTACCTCTTCTCCGCCTCTCTTCACGGGCGCAGCGTCCTCGCTGAGGGCAGGTGCTGTGATGGCTGGAATGGGGGCTGCGATTATGGCTCCCGCCGTGCTAGCGGTATTCTGATGCAATGCACTGCACTGATCTGATGCAGATGCGGAGGCAAAAGCAGTGTGAAGGGGTCAGTCAGTCAACCAGGCTGTCAAGGATATTTTGATTTGATCCCTCTCACTGTGTCATCTCAACTGTATACATATGCACATGCTGAACTGAGGATTGAAACTAGCTAGGTTGGATGGTAGTTAATTCTTCCGGGTCCATATCTACCTGTATGGTACTGTAATGATAATCACGTAATCTGTGAGACAAAACCTGTTCTTCAAGTAAAGTAAATGAAAATGAACCGAACGGAAGTCCTCGAGTAAAGGCTGTATGTACGCAGCAGATAGATGGAATTGATACTAATTTATGTCTTGGTCTGATCTGATCCGATCCGATCTCAACCGCGATAACCGGATATCGCGTCTGGCGCTTTTTCAGCAGCACATCTGGGACCTTTTTACCGGGGGAAGGCGAATGGAGAAGCCTGACATCTGCTTGACAGTCAGTACAGGGCAAGTCAACCAAACAAACTACATGATGGACACGTACCGGTCTCGTAACAAGCCACGTACTCATCGTTTTCGTCTTGAATTCCCTTGGCGATTTGGCTCAACCAGTCGTATATCACACT